TCTTTTTAAGTTGTTAAGACAGGTTTTCTAAGTTAGTTCTTACTTGCTGCTATTATTTTTGTTTTATTTGTTTTTAAAACAAAGAATCAGTAAGAAGAATTTTAAATAAAAAGCCTTGATAAGAAGAATTTTAGTAATTAAATATTTAATAAATAGTTTACTAATATTAGTAGAATTAAACAAAAAAAGACCAAAAGTATATATGACAATAAAATCTTAAGTTTTTCAAAGTAGTAAAAAAAACTTAAGACATATAACAAGCTGTAGTAAACAAAAAAGTTTATAAAAACTAATATAAAAAGTATTAATAATAATAGCATAGAATAGCTTTAAAGAAAAGAAAAAAAATCAGAATCTTATTAATATTATTATATAAAACATTATATAAAGAAATAAAAGAGAAAAAAATTATAAACAAAAAAGTACTAATAAAAAAAACTAATCATGATAGAAATAGAAAAAAGATTTGACTAACTATTAAATAAATAAGCAGTAAGAAAATATATAGATATAGTGTTGACATTAAGAGTTTTATATTTTTGATCATAACTTTTAATATACTAGACCAATTTGGATAAAACAACTGCTATTGGATTCAGCTCATCTAGACAATTCTAATGAGTATAAAATCATATGATTCTAATTATAAGATCACAAGATCAGAATGATTTTGATGAAACATTAAATTTAGTATATGTAACTTGGATATAAATGACTAAATTAACTAAGCCTCTAAAAGTATAGATATCACAGATATTACAGATCTCATTTCTTAGTTTTCTTTTATATATACAATATTTTTTATATATAATATATAGCATATATCTTTTATATCTTTAATATTTCTTATCATATATTACTATATTTAGCCTATTCTATTGAGATAACTTAGCTTTATTGTAATAATTTATATATATAAAATATCTATAAAAGCATTGCTTTCTGACTCTTTAAAAAAGTTAAGTATCTTCATATATTTCAATAGTGAATAAACTGAATGTAATATTTAGTATCTTCATATATTATCTATTGTTACCTCTGCCTTAAAATCCCAAATCACTCTGTATTTTGTTAAGTCTTGTATAGACTTTTGTATAGAATCTGTTAAGTTATAGTTATCATATTATAGTTAAGCAACTTCTGTTATCATTATAGTTAAAGAAAAAACTACAGATTAATAATAATAATAAAAATAGTATAAAATATTTTCTATAATCAAATTTAAAAAGTTTAATATAAAAAAATATAAGAGCAGAAAAAAGAGACCAATATAATAAATAAAATAAAGAAAAATATTTAATTTGAAGAAAAACTAATAAAAAAAAAAATATATAAAATAACAAAAAAAAATACAAAAAACAAATTAAATAAAGAAAAAAATTTAAAAAATAATTGATATGCTTATTATAAAAAAAAAAAGACTTTTCTAATATAGTTTTAAGTAGTTAGATAAACAGTCTATCTTTAACTAAAATAATATAATAAATTATACTTAGATATTATTAAAATGACTAAGTAATACTAGACTTAGATATTAAATAATTTTATATAATTATATATATATTTAGTTTTAAGAATTTTAATAAAAAAATAAAGGATGTGGCAATCTAGTGAAGTGAATAAATTGTTAACCCTCAAATGGCAGATCTAAGATTCAATTCCTATAAATGATGAATTTTGGAAATTATACTTGTGTTATAGTAACTGTTTTTTGCTGATCAGTTGGGTTTTGGGCATCTGTAATCTTAGATATACTAAGTCAGATCTTATCTAACATTGGGAGCTCAGGGCATCTATATGAAATATAATATTACACATATAGAGAAATGTAAAAAAACCAGTATTATATAAGGCTTTAGTACAAACTCATAATAAGACTACTGGGTGTAGAAGGCTAAAAAACTGAGAAAACAGAAATCCACTTGGAAATTCTAAGTAAAAAGGTAGTACAAACTTTTAATAATGCCATTGGACTGATAAAAACTCATAAAACATTTTTATAGAAACTGTCAGATAAACTGAATGACAAGATGTATAAAGGAGCATATAACTAATTAGACTGCCAGAATTACTAAAGAAAAAGAATATATAAGTATATAATATTAGGCCATCTGGATTAAAAGTCTGAGAAGTCAGTTAGTTCTGAGTTGCAGCTAGTAGAAGATAATAGAGAAGAAGTCAGAAAGATGGGTATTAGAGTTTGGGTGAACTTTACAAGAATAATAATAGTTTAATAGATAATCCTAACTGCAAGTGTTGGTCTTGATCATAGTGTCAAACCAGGTTAGCAGTAAAAAAAAATATGGTTTACTTTGGTAGGTTTGCCTCAAGAATAAAAATAGTCTAAGAATTATAGTCTTATGGTTAAATATAAATAGATCTGGGTCTATAATCTGATGAAATTAATATTAGAGTTAGATCAAAAGGTTTAAATAAAATATCTAAGCAGAGGTGTTAGGTATAGCAACTAATAGGGAACCCTTTAGTAAACTTCTTAAATAGGTAATATAGAAAAGTTATACATGTAGCCAGTTGTATACTTGTCTAATAGTTTATTACAGATATGTCTATATAAAACATATATCCAATATAAGTATTAATAAAAAGCTTGAACCAAAGAGGTTACCTTAATACTGAAAAAAAAACAAATAAAAAAGATGTGATAACTTAGTAAAATAAATAAATTATCAATTTTTTAAATAACAAGTTGTAAATTCAAAACTCATTAATAGTAAAATTTAATTTTTATCTGTATTATAATAATAGTTTCTAATAATTAGATTAAGATACTTATAATTATAATCATATTAGTATAACTTAAGTTATAGAATATCTGTATAACTAGTTACATTAAGAAATGCAAACTAACATTAGGTAATACAAATTTAAAATTGTTCTTGTAATCATATAAATAAATAAGAATTAATAAATAAAAAACTTATTTGAAAAAACTCAAGCAAAGAAGTAGTATAAATCTTTAATAATACTACTGTAAAGACTAGACTTAAAAATAAATATCAGTATAAAGAAGTCAGATAGATATGAATCTTAAGTAAGAGGTATCACTAACTAAGTTATCAGAATCAAATTAGAAGAAAAAGATATTAAGCTAATCTGGTATATCAAAGAATAAGTTATAGTTCTATTAGATTATTTAAATTAGAAGTTTGAAAACAAAAACAAAAATATACTAAAGTATTTTAGATATGTTGTAAAGTAATATAATGATTTGAATAAACTTTGTAAAATATAACTATTTAATAACTAATTTTAATTGCAAATATTGGTTCAACTATATCAATACTAGATCAACTGTAAAATAAATATACAGAAGGTTCAAAAGGCTTATTCTGAAGATAAAATAATTCTAAGATTAAAACAAAGATATAAGCATAACCTAAAAAAGTTAATATAAGTTACAAAATTAGAGTGTATAAAATAGAATATTCAAGTAAAAGTGTTAGATATAACAATTGATAAGAAACCTTTAGGCAAACTTCTTAAATAGGCAATATAAAAAAGTTATACATATAATCAATTATACACTCTTCTTATAGTAGTTCTATATAAAACCACATTATCAAAAAATATTAATAAAAGTCAAAAGATCCAAAAAGTTACCTTTAAAAAAAAAAAAAAAAGAATCTTAATAAAATACTAGTATAACTGCTTAAGGTTAAAAAAAAAAGTTTAAAAATGTTAAATTCAATTTGGATATTGAAATAGTTATTCATATTAATAGTAAAATATTGTTGATTTTTATCATAATTAGTAATTTTTAACATTTTAAATATTTTAGATCTAAGTTTAATAAAATCTCAAAATTCTACTGTATCCAGATCCCAAATATAATAAAATTGTTTCAAATTTCAAATCTTAAAACCTAAATTTCATCACAAATATAATAAAATTCATTCTAATCCTAAATTTCAAATTCTAATAGTTTTACCATCGAAGGGTGATTTCATAGTTGAGTTATGAATGATTTTTTGGTTTGTTTTGATTTTTTGCGCGTAATACCTGACCTTGAAACATGATTGGCCAGTGAAGTTTTTTTAGGTTTGTTAACTCCTTCCGCGTTATTTCGCGCTTATACGGTAGGCGCTTGACCTTGTTAAAAGCCTACAACAAAATAATAGCGATGTGAACTAGAGGAAATAGGTAAGACAACTCGGGATATAACCAACACATTCGATGGTATACTCTTTAAAATAGGTTCTTGGAAGTATGATTAAAAAGGTTTTGACCATTTCTTTTTAATGCTTTCGGCTGAGGTTTTGCTTAGAACTCCAACGCACTACCACGAGAGAATGTTTTAGCTTTGTGTCTGTTTACTCTGCTGATATTATCAATTCGACCGACAGGCCTCATGTGTCATAACCGAAGAATCAAAGTCTCTCACGGTATCTATGACGCAATTTTATCTTTATTTTCGAAAATGTCACTTTTCGCCCGTAATAATACAATATAAAAAAAAGAAAATGAAAATTTTTACAAGAGTATGGATGAGTGAAATAAAAACATTTTCTACTAGCAATAAATTAAAAAAAGCTTTGGTTAGCAAAAATTTATGTTGCACTTTTTGTGAAATACAAGTTTCTAAGACTACCTAAAACTACAATTTATATATTCAATAGGGTATTACCAAAACTTGCCAAAAATTTTTAATAATAATAATACAAATCCACCAAGATGTAATTCAGTAATTCTCAAATTATTGAATTTACTTATGTTGTATCTTTGAAAGCCGTTTAAAAAAACTTACCGATTCTTTTTTTCAGATAATATAATGATCTGTTAGTCAAAAATTTTTTTAAAAAACAATCAGTTTATACAGTCAATATTACAATTAAAAGTTAATTGAATCAGTCTATTGCGATTGAATGCAATATATAAATAAAGAATTGTATTAAATATTTTTAAAGATGAGTATAAAGAATTCTAATACAGTAAATTTATACAACTATTATGTAAACTATAAATAATTCTATTTATAAAGTCTAATGGCGGGTTTGAATAAACGCAGCAGCATGCATAAACATATTATAAGCTCTAAGAATGAAATTTCTAGCAAATAATCCAAAATTTTCTAGTGGTATTGCCTGTTTCAACGCTACGTAACGTGACGCCAGAACAGCTTTAGATGACCGATCCCGCATCTGTTTATTATATCGTTTAATGCATTCAAACAAACCATGTTTTTCAGAATTAATTAATTCTTTAGTCAACAGGTCAGCATCTTGCATTGCATTGTTTGCACCTTAAATAAATAAATAAATTTATTAATATATATATATGTGTGTGGGAATTGTAAGCACTAATCAGATCAGATTTTTATTAAATATTTTTTTAATAAACACCAACCTAATCCTAATATCGGATTCATAGCATGAGCTGCATCTCCTAGTAAAACGACCCTACCATCTTTCCAATCTGGAACAGATAGTGGATCAATATCACGAAGTTGACGACGTCTTATAGGATTATACGTTCGAAATGGATATTTCTCAGAATATCCCGAATTAGAGTGTAGAGCTAATGATAAAATTTCAATTATTAGATCTCTTAGCTCACCAGGTGGTCGTAATTGTTTTATTCTTGAAATTGTATGTTTAACAACTGATTCTGGATTATCATCATCAACTAATTTATTATTTTCATCGTTAATATCGAGGATTGTTGGATAGTGATATGCAAAATTAAGCCTATAACGTGGTTCATCAGATTCATTGACTGGTATATAACGCATCGATGAAAGAAACGCATCACCATTTTTACCAAGTGACCACTGAATAATAGCATTTTTGTAAATGTTCATTAATTTATCTGCCATATATTTTGGTATTACAACATCTATGTCAACACTGGTTACACCGGGGTCAAGAATTTTTAAGTTAGGAACCATTTGTTTTCGAACTATCAAGATAATAATATAATTAATTTTATTAAATAAATAAATAAATAAATTTATAATAAGAGGTAATTATAACTTACTTGGTGAATTAATTCCATCTGAACCGATTAATAGGTCACCAAATTCCCTAGTTCCATCATCAAATAATGCCCAAACTCCATCTTCACTTTCTTCATATCCGACGCATTTTTTACCCCATTGGACATCAACACCATCTAGCAGAACGTCTCTTAATATATTACGATAAGCAACTATGCCAGCAAAATCATGTTTAAGAGGTTCCATCTCATAAATATTGAAGTTCTGTTGTGGCGCGCTAAACAAAAGTTTTCCTGCGTGATCAATAATCATTGTACTATGATGTTCCTTAGATGTTGGACTTGGTATTGCTTCAATTAAACGATCTTGAACTTTGGATGGCGTGCAATAGAATAAAGAGGTAACTCCTTTTCTACTAACACAGATGTTGTAACCTTCCCATCGTTCTATTTATGAAAATATTTAATTACGCGTCAATCATACAATAATCAATAGCTTTTTTAAAAATAATTTCATTTGCATTGAAAGATGAACCTTGAGGACTGGTCTCTCGATCGAATATTTTAACATTAAATTTCTGGTCAAGATTTTTTCGAGCAGATTGGTAAAAACTAAGTCCACCTACACCTGCTCCAATAATCAAAATTGTTGGAATTTTGTTCACAGAAGTTTCCATTCTTTAATCTTAATTATGGAATTTAGAGTTGTTTTTTTTTATCATGTTCGGTCCGCGAACTGCTCTATATATATATATAAAATCATAATCCTAATATATGATGAATTGTTACAAATATAATCATTTATTTGTTTTCAAATTTACATGCTATGTATTACGTATGTCATGTCTCTGTTCATGCATAAAGTTCAAGATACGCATAAAGATAGCCTTTTCGTATATATTTATAATGCTTATATAAAATTACCAATTTCTCTTATAATTTTACCACACTGAATTAGAATTTGTGCTTAATATATTTTTAAAGTTATGTTTGTACTTATAAAATTTATTTATTCATACGTATTATCTTCATATTATTATCAAAATTGGGTAAATCAAGGCAATCACAAATAAACATCTTTATTTGGTTATTGTGATTGGTAGGTTGCCTTTTGCACTATCACTGACCGATACTCCTGTGCTCGATATAGCTATGGATAATAAAAACCATTTATACCAAATTTAGAGGTAGATAAAGCTGTGATAGTTTTTGAAAAATATCAGCTGATCTTTGATGCTACCATATATATAACTTTTACAATGAATAACTTTTAATCCGCCGAATAATTGTATGTAGTAGATCCAGGTCAAATCATAGGATCATTAATTAAATGCGCGAATTAACGCCCACGGGAGTCATACAATTTAAAAAGAGCTAATAAGGCTCAGCAATGTGGGAATCCAAGATTTAATATATCAACCAATAGAGGTCCTCCACACATATCATGTGACAGTACCAAAGTTGAATAGTTGAGTTCTTGTTAGTAACGCCTACATTAGAACCTATTATCCCTAATAAAACACCTTATTACTAAATAAAGTCTGAATTAGGTAAATGATATGGAAGAAAGAAGAATTCAGCTCTTTGAGTCATCTTCATTCGAAAGAGGTAGAATTAAAGAAACGACATATTGTTTGCTTTGCTTAAAGTAAATTAAGTTTTTATTTTTTATATAAAAAATATTTGTTCAGTTAATATCAAAAGCAACTTTTGAATTATGACAGTCTTACTGTATAACTGTATAATTGGATGGTGATTGAAATTAGTGGCTTAACCTATTACAGATTTACGGAACGTGCACTAACGTTAAAAGGTGACGTCATAATGTACAAATTTTGGTGTACAAAAATTTATCCGGGTTATGGTAGATTGAGTTCCACAAATAGGAAAATTTGGAAAATCATTAATTTCTAGTAAAATCTACAGAACTCACGAAAAAATACGCAGTTGAATTATGTTGCGATTCTAGCACTTTGTAGAGACACGTAGCTTATTAAAAATCAAACTTAAGAAAAAAATATAAAACATGCTGATTTTTGGCTTGTAAAAAAAATAAAAATCCAAATTAGTTTAAAACGCAAATTGATAAGAAAATCTTACAAATATTAAACATCCAATATTACGATCTTCAATATTAAATAAAAATCTCAATTATTTAGTCTCCAATATTAAATAAAAATAAAAATCTCTTACAATTATTCAATCTCCAATATCAAATAAAATCTCACACAATTATTAATCTTGATTTATTATACTTACAGTAAAAACAAAATGTTTTCATATCCGATAGACACCGATTACCCATTTGATCAAAATCCCTATTTTAATAATCGTCGTCGTCGATACTATAATCCTCATCAAGCTTGCGCATACTCGTACCCGAGTTACACACATCCTCAGTCGTTTTTAAATTTTCACATTCCTCAAAATCGATATTTCCCGGATCCATACCATCTTCGTGAGTCATATTATGACCCAGAAAATATAGTCAATTTGGTCTCTGATCTTAACCAAATCCATGAAGAAGAAAAAAATCACCATGATAAGGAACGAAAAAGAAATGAATATATAAGAGTAAAGATTTCTGGTCCTGAAGATGAACGGGAAAATAAACATGAAAATAAACATGAAAATAAACATGAGAATAAACATGAGAATAAATATGAGAACAAACATAAGAATTGTAATGCTTTCACCAAACAACAAGCAGCCAAAAAAGTATACAACTTTCTAAAATATCAACCTTCGATATATAAAACTCGAAAAATCCTTGTAAGGCTTTTACATCTCCGAAATATACAAAACCAACTCGATTCCTTGAGTTCTCAAAACCAAAGTTTCGGAATGCTTACTTTTTCGGGTAAAGATGCAGGAAAGCAAATATTGCCAATTTCAAAAAATAATAAAATGTTTCTTATGCAAGAAGACGCCATATTGAAAATCCTTGATCAATTAGATAAAGTACAAAGTGAAGGAAATGAAATCATTCGAGATAGAAGAAAAGACATTGTTAAAATTGCTCAAAAGATGTTGGAAAAATTGGATGCTGAAAAAGATAGGCAGTGGAAATTGTTTTTCGATGAGTTAGAGAATAGTGAAAGCATTGAAAACAAGAATAACGAAAGTATTAAAAACGAGAATAACGAAAGTATTGAAAACAATGATAGTACTGAGGATATAGTTATCGACGATGACATTGAAAAAAACGATGGCGAAAAGGATATAGTTAATGAAGAAGTTATTGACGATGCTATTATTGAAAAAATCGAAGACGATAAAGAGGATATGATTACCGATGAAGCTATCAATACTTTAAATAACTCATCAGAGACAGAAGAAATTAAACCATATACAATCTTATCACATGAAGACACGAAGTCTGGAGATGATGAAAAAGATTTCGACTTTATTGACAACACCGTATCCGATTCTAATTCATCCACAAATTTCAATGAAGAAATTATGGACGCACGGGAGCCGTTAATTGTTGTTGATAGTAACGTTGAAGAAAGCAATGAAGCTGTTTTAGCTCAAATTAAAGAACTATCTCAACAAGCTATCACATCACCTATGGAGGGTGTGGAGAATATGAACGTGACGAATGAGGAGAGCGAAGATGAATTTGTGATCGTTAATACTTCAAATTAGCAAAAAAAATCTATTTGTAGTCATTTATGATATATAGGAAGAGAACTTTTAGATATTATTTCATGCTTTATCAATTTTTTTTTTCTTTTTACTGTTTTTATTATTACTAAGATTATTAATAAATGCTCATGCTATTACTTTTAACGTTGTTGTAAATACGATTGAAAATGTATACAATACAATTAATAATAAATTGTAAATGTTTTTAGTCTTTTACGAAGTCTTTACCAATTGAATATTTGTTATTTTAACGTTTGATTAGTTTTCCACCTTTCTCGTTAATAAACTCTAACAAAATTTAGTGACTAGATTAATAACCGAAAAATAAAAGAACATAAAACATAATAACTATCTGGCTATTTTACAAAGCGGCGATAGCGATAGTTCTTAATACTCTTAAATTGAAACCAGGTGACTTGTATATTTAGATCTTTGATACTAAAAATGCATCGCCTTGTAATAAAAAACCAAAACGATGGTTATCATTGTAAAAAAAATATGAATTCATTCTTGTATGTAGAAACAATGTTCGTCGTATTTCTAAAGTAGAATATAACGTTATTTTACGATTTAAAATTGTGAATTTTGGCAAAATTTGAAACCCCCCCAAAAAAATCCCTGGTGTGAATAAATTAACCAATCATAATTTAATAGGTTGGTGGAATGCTGGAAATTTACTTTCCTTGCTGCCACTTAGAGGCATATATTTTTGGTGAGGTTTCTATGTATACAATGGATAATCGAGTTAGCCAAATTACAATAACAACTAAGTATATAACGATAAATAGGAAATATGTAATACTAATTGATTAAAAATCTAGCCCTAAAAAGCAAAGGTTCTCTTGAAAAACCTTTCAAATCCAATGCGTTGAATTCAAACTGTAACCAACGTGTACTACTCAAAGCCGATAATGGAATCAAAACATTGGCTAAACGGTCATCCAAAGCGATCAAAGGAAAGAATTTTCTTTAAATAATAATAATAACCAGAAAAAGTTAAGTAACAGTAGCACTCCATATGTACACATCCTCCAGCCATCCCATAAAGAAAAAAATTTAGCTTACAAGCACAGAATCAAGCGCAAAATCAAATTTAAAATTTCGTAATAGCTCAGTGTAGAGAGTGCCATGGGTCTTTAAGAAAACACAGTAACTTTTATAACGAACTTTTTTCTTCCAGAACCGTCAGTTCGTTATAGAAAGAGTTGAACGTATTTGTTTTTTAAAGAATTATATGTATATACTAACTTAACATCACTATGCTTTATACTTAGCAGCGGCTGAAATAAAAAATATTTTCAACCATATCGTTGAACTTTAACGTTAAACTTGGACAAATTATTATTATTTGATATATTCTGTATCCATATGAGAACATTAGAAACACTGCTAATTGCTTTATTCTTTATATATAATGACGAATTGGTCATTCTTATAAGAAATTTCTTATTACCCTCTATTCTGTATTATGTTCGCTATTCAAAAATAGCGCTTCATCGTTGGCATTATTAATTCTGAGTTTTAATTATGACTAGAGATGGGCAAATCGTGGTTTTTCAAAAAATCCCGCGCGTGACATGCGGGATTCATTAAATCTAGATGCTGCGCGGTTGAACCTCAATTTTGGTTTTCCAACGGCTGTGATCGACAAAATTTTGGCCGCATTATACATAATTTTGGCCGGAGTTTAATTTTTTAATTGTT